CGACGGGGCTCCCGGGCCTGGACGGGGAATGTTCGAATGACCCGACCTGGCGTACGCCAGCCGGATGCAAGAACATCCAAGAGGAATGAGTCACTCCTTCCGGCTTTCGCTGCCTTTTAAAGCCTGCCTTCGGACACCGAGACGAGGCAGTTATAGTCTGGCTGCTAATTAGCTAGTGGAATCAAGAAATCCCTCCTCTCTTTTGCCTCTGCAGCAAAACCCCGCTGGGTTTTACGTTAACGAAGGACTTTTCTCCCTGTGCCCCACCAGGCTGGCAGAGAGACACACGGCGGGGGCCAAGCCAAGGTCTCCCAGAGACACGCAGAGGGGGCCACCAGCCAAGCAGCCCCTACGAGAAGCAGCACGGCCGCCGGCTGGAGGAAAAATCTGCTTCTCGCTTAGGGAAGAGTGGTTTGAGCTGCGCGGCTCACCTGGCACGGTCAGGACCGACGGGGAGATGTGGGGCTTCTCGTTGACTCGGACGTTGTTGCGAAACCAGTAGATCTCCACAGGCTCCGGCGGGCCCACGGCTTGGCACGTGAGGTTGAAGGGACTGTTCTTGGTGACATTCAGCTTCTCGGGCTGACGGATGAAGTGCGGGAGTCCTGCACAAAGACGAGCAGAGAAGCAGAGGATTCAGAGAGCCTGGCAACACAGCCCCGTCACAAACCCCAGACTGTCCCGCCCAGCTCCAGCAACAAGCCCCTTCCCAACCACGACTCCCCGTTTCTGGATGACGGCTTCCAGCTCCCGGAACACCGTCCCCGGAGCTGTCGCTCAGCCAGGGCGCAATGCTCCACACCTCCGGCATGTCCACCACCCTCCTTCAGCATCACCTTCCAGCTGCACCAAGATGGGATCCGACACCACTTCCGTGCCAGAGACGTTGAGTTTGCAGACGTAGGAGCCGTTATCCGAGCGCTGGGCGGCATGGATGCTGCAGAGAGAGCAGAGACCATGGCAGGGCTCTGGTGGGGAGCCTTGCCCCGCGGGAGGACACGGCAATACTGCCAGCCCGGGGGTGGGTTTCCATCGGTACCGACCACCCCACAGCGCCCGGCGGGCAGAAGCTGGGCTTGCAAAGCCAGGCTTTGGGGGCTAGGGAGGGTCTGTCCATCCTAGCCCCAGTCCCAAGGTCCTGCTAGCCATCTGGGAGCCAACACTCCAGGCACCAGTTACCTGAAGGTGGAGGTGATTGCCACCTCCTCCTCGTCGGAGACCTCGAACTGGCTGGGGGTGATGCGGTCCAGCATGTGCAGCTCCTTCCCGTCCTTCCACAAGGAAATGCTCGGGGTCTCCAGCCTGACCAGCAGCTGAGGTACTTTGATGGAGCAATTAAACATGATGTCCTTGTGCTCGTTAATCACAATGTGTCGCACCGTGGGGTTAAACTTAATTTGTCTTAGAGAGCTGGCTGCGGGCTCCTCCCGGGGCTGCTCCGTGCTCGGGTCAGGCCAGCGACCGACCACGCTTCGCTCGGGGCGGTGGGACTCTGCCAACAGGTACGGCTTTGGATCTCCATTTCGCTCAGCACCACCTGCAAGAGAAGACTTCGGTTTTGCTGCCGCCAGCCAGCGAGTGCCCCCTTCCAAAACCCTGCAAAGCCCTACTCCTTCCATTCATAATTAAAGGCAATTCGTTTACAGATGCTTCAAAAACTCAAAATCTCCAGGAGACCTCTCACAAGAGCCTCGAGGAGGAACCGCGGAGCCGGGGGGCTGCCCCAAGACTGACTACGTACAAGCAGCCCCTCAAAAAAGAAACCCCACCTTTTTAAACCAAACCGGAGCAGCCCGGGCTAAAGAAAGTGCTCGGCCGCTTCTGTTTTGGCAGGGGAGAGGCAGGAGCTATTTCTGCTGCATCGCACCCCCAGGACTGGAATACAAAAGGATGCCTGGGCAGGAGGAATTTGGGACTTCACTCCAGTAAAGCCCTCGAGCCTCATCTCAAGGGTTTCCAGCCGGGGCAGAGCGGGAGCCCCCGGCGGGGATTTTTCTGCTTTTAGGCTCTTTGGCGGTGACGCTGGTCCCTTCCCGGGACGGGGTGAGCTGCTCCCAAAGAGGGAGACGCTCTCTGAGTCACCCGCAAACACTTCTGCTAAGCTAAGTGCCTCCACCGAGCTGCTTTTTTGCCGGAAAACAGCTGCAGACAGATGTAGAAATGCCTTCAGACAGTGTGTAGGAGCTGCCTGCTGTGGAGTGTCGTTCTCCCAGGGTCTTTTCCCAGACATTTTTCCCAAGGGAAGGCTCTGCACCAGCTCTCTCTGAGGGCTTTGTGCCCCCACCTACAAATCGCCCAACATACCCCGTAACGGCGTTTTCCCCCTCCCTCCCAGCGCTCCCCATCCCAGCCGCGAACAAGGCGAAGAGCAGCTCCACATAAAGCAATTCCCCCCCCCAACAAGGAAACTGTGTACTTTTGAAAAGAGAAAATCTAGACAATATACCACAAGTAGATGCTTTTACTAAGACCGTTTCCGAGCTCCCTGAGGCTCTCACAGGCAGACGGAAATCCCAAGCGGAGTGGTAAATCTCCCTTGCTGCTTTCAGGGAGAAAAGGCATCGGGCCAGACAGGAATTTCAGCTAAATTAATTTGCCTCTTCCAAAAAAAAAACCCCAAACCAAACCCTATTCACAATTTAAAATACGGTACTGCAGGTAGAAAGCACAGCCTTTTTATTTAGCTGGAGTTCAGCTGAGTTTGTTTTGAGGCAGGTCTTAGTCCTCCAACATCAAACGACGAGTTTTTAAAGCTACGTCATTACTATTGTGAGTAATGGGGCATGAGCCTAGTGCGCTTTCCCGAGAGCCAAGAAACACAACCTAATTCTGAGGCTGGATATATTCCTTTGCTAAATTGCTCACTATTTTTAACCCTCGAGAAATGCTACTTCCAGACAGAAATTTGAGAAGGGTTTTTAAGTTCTGCCCGGGCTGGTGGTGTAGAGGAAAGCGAGCGCAAGGCTCTCCCTGGCTCTCACGCAAAACAATGCGTTTCCCTTTTAGGAAAAAAAAAAAAAAAAAAAGACAAGACCCTAAGCTTTTCCAACCTGCTTCCTAAGCTTTACCATCCCAACACAAACAAAGGCCGTGTGACCGCAGCAAAATGCAGCCGACTGCTATTTACTTGCGGGCCGGGTCACCAGCTCTAAAAAGATTTGCCAAATGCAAACAAGCCGGCGACCCCAAATCCGCTTCCCTCCCCTGCTCTTCCCGGAGGTTACCCAGGCTGGAGCCGCTCGCTGCCTGGCACAATCCAACCTCAAACAGCTGATTTCACGCTCCATTGCGAAGCTTTCCAGCTCTGGCCGGAGCAGCTCCCGCGGCGAGGACCCCCGGGCGGGCAGGATACGGGTGCGTATCCCGTATTCGGTCCTTGCCCCTGGCAAGCGCTCTGCCCGGGCCAGGGTGATTTCTGCTCGCCTGCAGCTCGCCCCGGGCTGCTTCAAGTTAAAAGGCAAAGGTGATCTTAGCCTCGTTTTCTACACCGGTGAAGTGGGAAGAGGTGTTTGCTGGCCCAGGAATGAAATACTTTCCTCTCTGACTCATGTGACGACAGGCATTTCTCGTATCTAGCGCTGCCTTTGGGTACCCCTTCCATCCCCAGCTGTTTGGGAGGTGGATATCTTCACGGCATCTTCGAAGGGTGGCGGGACGCTAAGCGATTTGCTTAGCCTGGCTCTAAAAGCCCACGTCAGAGCCGAGGAGCTGAAAGCCGGCGTGCCTGCGTGGGTGCCCGCCGCACCGCAGCAGCTCCCCTCGCTTACCGCAGCTTGGCCTGAGGGAAAAGCCGGCGTGGAAATAAATCCACTTGCAAGTACGTGCTGCTCCCCTGGAACACCTGGGATCACGGCAAAACTAAAGCGCTAGCGAAGACAGATCTTACAGTGCAGCCCGGCCAGGTCCCACGTGCCTTCTCCGTTACTGGCCTGGAGAACGGAGTTTTAACAAGAAAATCAGCCCGCTGTTAGGGGCAACGTGCTTCATCACAGAGGAAGAAAAAAAAAAGCAGGGAGCTGCACGCCCCACGGCCGCAAGAGCACGTCGTTCTGCTGCAGTCCCAGCGAGGGAGGTATCAGAACACAGCCCGGTCTGCCAAAACGCTCCCTGCGCCCCCAGCCCTGGATTTCCCATTACTGGAAGTCATTCACCTGCTGCCACCAGCTTTCTGCTCAGGCGCTTCCTGAGCGCAGCTTCGCTCTCGGACAGGGCAGGAGCGTGGCCTGACGAGGAATGAAGAGCCCCTGGGTCGCTGCCTGCGGGTTCCCTGCCTCCCCGTCCCCTGGGACCTGTCCGAACTGAATTTCCCCAGGGCCACACCTGACTTCCAAAGAGAACTCTCCGGGTTCAACCACCTTTCATACAAACCGGTCCGGGATTCCTGGTTAAATCCACGCTAAGCTCCCCTCAGCGCAGATTCCCGCTGTTACAGAGTCAAGGCTTTTAACTCCACCCTGCCCAAAGCAAACACGTTTGCTGAGAAGCCCATCTGCACGCCGAGCCCCCCAGCACCCCTGAGCACGGGCTATAAACCCCCAGCAGCTCCCGGCCTGCGACCAAACGTCAGGCAGCCCTGATGACGGCACGCTTTAAGTCCAAAACCGACTTTTGCCTCTTTGCATTCCTTTTTGCAGGTAACGAAGCACGTGGGGCTGAAAAGCCGGCGGGC